TTCTGTGAAATTCCACAATTGCTAAAGCTATCCTGCTCTGCATTCAGTCTAATGGAAGTTGGATTTCTTCTGGCTAGTATCACTGCAGGGTTCGGTTGCTTTATTTTTATCATTGTCTCTTACACTATGATCTTCAAAACAGGTTTGAGAATCCCTTCTGTGACAGGAAGGCAGAAGACCTTCTCCACTTGTCTTCCCCACCTGATAGTCTTTTCTATGTTGTTGGTAACAGTGTGCTTGGCCTATCTGAGACCCCCCTCTAACACACCAAATTACTTCGATTTCACATTAACTGTCCTATGTTGTTTACTTCCACCCTTATTCAATCCAATCATTTATAGCATAAGGAACAAGAATATCAAATCTGTCCTGTCTAAATTGTGGAGGTTCTGATATTATCTTTTGGTGATGTTTTCTATCCTGTTTTTCCTCACATTGAACTTACTACATTTCTTGCCTTAGTGTTTCTGAGGAAATAAAATAAGATTGAAGAGACAGAAGTAAAGTCTTGCCACTCTGCACCAATGGCAGCACTTGAGAAGGTCCTGACCTACAATCCTATATCCCTTGTTACTGACCCTTATTTTTAAGGTAGTAGGACTTGGTTTGGCAGCATCCTGGCTATCATAATGTTAATGAGAGCTCCTGGTTTCTGCTTAATGGAAGCAGCCTCCTATTAATAACAAAACGAAAGCAGAAATTAACTTTGTGCAAATGTCTATAAGGATATTTTTGTCATGCATTCCCATTGTCAAAAGATTTTAATATCAAAAGAAGGAACTCAATTACTTGAGGTTTTTTCATACATTACACTAAGGCATTGTTCATTTAACACTGGAGTGATGAATAAAACACAATTTCTACAATCTGAGTATATCATAAGCCATGAATCAGGTTTATAAAAATATATTCAGTAGTCTATCTTGTTCGTCTAAACTAACTGGTCCATGTGGATCACTACATGGTTCTGATAATGGAGCAAGGTTTTGGTGACTTGACCATTTTTAGAAGAATTGGAAAACTCTCTGTGACCATGATTTAAACTTGGTCTCAAATTGTTGAAAGTAGAAAAATGTAGACCTTCCTTTCAGACTTCATGCAGCATATGGCAATAAATCTTGACTCTTCAAACACTTAACGCCATATTCAGAACTTGCTTGTATTTGAATGTGATAGTCATGAAGTAGATAGATTATACCTTTATTGTAGACATTCTTGTAAACACAGTCCACCTGTCTTCTGCAGTATACAGAAACCAACTCTATGTAGAAATCTATATTCTGTAGATGTATGAGACAGACGAGGGGATGAGCCTTACCATAGGTGTTATATGTTTGTTTGGCTGTCTTTTAACTCAGTTTCCCCTGGGATAACTGTGGTTTGTGGGGGGGTGGTGGAGGTGGAAAGGTTCAGAGGAGGGAAGGTGCTGGTGGGTTGTGCTTAGGGTGCTGAGGGTTCAATACTGGTCTGAAGCTTCCTGGGGCTTACTATCCTGTCTACTGTATGTGTGCTAGGATTGACTGTGGACGAGGTGGGAGGTGAGTTGTTCGCGGGGGGTGTAGTGTTGGAGGTTAGCGTGCTGGCTGGGTCAGAGGCAGGCAGGAAAATCATGGTGCTGATGGATAATGGTAGGGACCATGAGAGTCAAGGGACAAGCCATTCACAGAGAATGTGGGCCCAAGCCTTCATCCTCAATGCCTGTCATCAAGCAGTCATTCTCTTCTGTTTTCTTCTACCTTTCCCAGCATTGGAGCCTCCTCCAGAGAGCTGGGTCTTCATATAATATGTCCAAAGAAATGTGGCTAGTATCTCTTTTTCCATGTAGGGCTCTAATTAGTGTTGAATAATGCTAAGCGCTGGATATCCTGAGCATATGAAATTAAGGATATTGTACGATAGTTTGCACACTCTTTTAAGTGTTCTTTTTTTTTTTTGGTACCAGAATGCAGATTGACCTCTTCCAATTGATTGACCATTGGTCATTCTCCAGATTTGCTGGCATAGCTTGGTTAGAGCCTTGACTGATTTTTTTATGTTGCTTGCCATATTTCAGTGGGTATTCTACAACACCAAAGTTCAAAAGCATCAATACACTTCCTATCCTGCTCCTTTAAAGTCCAACTTTCAATTCGATAGAGTGCCACAGGGAACACCATGGCTTGCAAGATTCTCCTCCTTGTAGGTATAGACACATCACAGTATTTGAATATCTTTTCCAAGGCCTTCATGGCTGCTCTACCAAGTGCTAGTCTGCAGCGTATTTCTTGACTGCTTTCCTATCCTTTACTGTTGATTATTGATTCTAAAAGGCAAAAGCTATCCATCACTTCGAAATCTTCATTGTCAATTCTAACAATTCTTCATTGTTCTACCTGTTGTCATTAATTTGGTTTTCTTTATATTTAAGTTTAGTCCCATTTTTTCACTGTGCTCTTTGATTTTTAGTTCTAGGGCTTGCAGATCCTTTGCATTTTCAGCTATCAGGGTAGTGTCCTCAGCAAAACACAGCTTATTGATGTTTCTTCCTCCAGTTATAAAACCACTTTTGTCTTCTTCCAATCCAGCTTCCCTTCATGTATATTCTGCATATAGGTTGAATAAGGGGAAAGTATGCTAACTTTTCACACTCCTTTGCCAACCTGGAGCAAGTCTGTTTCACAATGTCCTGCCTAGACTGTGTCTTCCAGATCTGTATATAAGTTTCTCATGAGGACAACGAAATCTTATGGGATTCCCATTTTTTTATGAGCACATTCCACAGCTTGATAGGATTGACACAATCAAAGGCTTTTCTATAACTGATGAAGCACATACTCTGCTCCCTTATTTTCCATTCTCCATTTGAAGAGTAGCATTTTCTTGGAATAAGCTCATTCCAGTTGAGCAATTATCTTGGCAAATGAGTCAAATAGGCCTTCTGCATGTTATCGGTTTATATTTTTATGACATGAGATAGTGAAGAGGTGGGAAGACCAGCATTTTTATCTCTCAGTTTTCACTTGAAGGGACAGACATTGATTTGCATTAATCAGTACTGTAAACCTGTAGGAAGGTAACATACAGCTAATTTGATACTAGTTGTTTTGCTAATGTGTTATTTATATGTCTGTTCATGGACCTCTATTGATGTCATTGATTTATTGGTGTACTATTCAGTTTTGTCATTTTTTGGTCATATGATGGTGCTCCAATTTGGAAGTCCATGTTTTACACTTGCTTAAGGGTTTATCTCCTCATCCTTTGACTGTTTTATTACTTAATTGGTAAGCAGAAATCTCCTCTTATTTTCCTTTCATTTACTTCTTACTTTGTGGGGAAAATTTCTTGGTCTAAAATTAAGAGGACAGAGAAAAGAGGAATCATTCCCCCATCTTTATCTGAAGGGAAAGCTGAAGTTGAAGAATAAACAAAAACTGTATTCATTCCTGACTCACAAGAGAAACTAAAAAAGCAGAAAGAAAATGGTCTGCATCTGCTTGTCATGTTAAACTCTAGAGGTGAATATGCATAGATCAGGGTTGAACTGTGGAGTCCTTGGGGTTCTCTGAGCTTGGTGTTTTTCATGCAAACGTTTCATTACCCGGCTAGGTAACCTCTTCAGTGCTAAAATGGGATGGGGTTTACTCTCTGTTTATATACTGTGGCATGGCCTGCCAGTGTTGGTGGGGGTGGGGGTTTTGTTTTGTTCCTCT